CAGTTAACACTGCTCATATCACTCTCGCGGTTACACCGTCATCTCACACGCAGTTTACACTGCTCATTATATCATTCCAAAAACATTCTTTCAAAAACATCTCTTTTTATCCGGACTTGGAGTCCGGTCATAACCGTCCGGATTAGATGTCCGGTCAATACCCTTTAAAACTCTTTCCTTTCCATCCGGATTACAAATYCSGACAAACACTTAGAAAAATAATTCAACCTTGTCCGGTTTAGTAATCCRCTCAAAACAATACTTTGAAAATAAACCAACTCCTTTGTCCGGATTACAAGTCCGGACAATACTTCAATTATAACGTTGTCCGGTTTAAAATAAACCGGTCGATACACCGCACAACCTTTGTCCGGTTTAGAGTATACCGGACAATATATCACAACCCTTTGACCGATTTAGAGTATACCGGTCACCCCTTAGCCGGTTTATAGACTTAACCTTTTGACACACAAGCGGTTTAGAAATAAACCGATAACCTCTTGGCCGGTTTATATGATATCCGGTCACCTCTTGACCGGTTTAGATGATACACCGGGCAAAACATGGGCGGTTTAGTTATCCAGATTTCAATCCGGACAACACTTGTACGGTTTAATCAAGAACTTTCATAAAATGCTATAAAATTCAATATAACCAGTTCCAAATGCTTATCATATTGTATATAAGCAATTCATATCCAAAGCTCTAAAACACTCACCTTTTAGAAGTTGAGAATCAAAACCTTTTGATATCTTTTCTTCTTCCTTCTGTGCAGATTCTTCAAATATACTTGAGAGAGAATTTCTAAATATGGAAAGTGTGTTTGTGTGTATTTTCTCTTCACAAAAACTTTATATGCATACATCCCCACAAGGATTTGAGAGGCGGCTTAATAGCCGACCCCTCTCTCCCTTCTTTTCTTTATTTAAATGCTCTCACACACACACACACATATCATACATACATATATCATATATATATATATATATATATTTATAAATAAATATATACATATATATATAACTAAATGATAACCAGACTATTACACCTAGGTAGCGTGGCAAGTCGCCTGAGACTTTGTTTTGCACGAGAACTCTGTTTTTCTTGCCCAATCTGACCCCAAAGTATTCCAATAAGAAAGTTATATAAAATCTCATTCTAATATCAATTTGAATATCGAACGATCACAACCAGACCCTAGACGGAAAACCCCAAAATCAAATTTGTTTCACTAGATGGGACCCAACGACAGACTCATGAATCCTTTTTTGATTTGAATTTTTGATGAGCCATTGGTAATCCTTTCGGTGATTTTTAACTCACCGATGAATAATATTGTGGTTTAACTTTTTTTTTTTTGGACAAAACCATGTGAAACTTTGTGTTGTCAGCAAGCCATCGGCAATCCGTCACAAATCTTTGAAAGGATTCGGCGTAATGAATGCTGGTTATGTATAATAGTTCTTGGATGTGTATATCACTTAGAGCATATCCTTGACTAGCCGTACCACATTATGCAACTCAATAATGTGCTTTCTCACTATATATCTCCATTTTTCCAATTTGATATTGTCATATTAGCTAACCAAAAACAGTACAAAGCCCGAACCAAGTTAGCATCCACTTACTAGTACTTGATCTTGATCTTAATAATTGGTAAGAAACAGTCTCTCATGGAAACAAATCCCTTATATTTGCCCAAGTGTAGGATTAGAAGTTCTTGCTTGCTTTAGCTTTGAAATGATTTCTTTAACATATTCATTAATGAATACACCAAAAAGTCTTGAAACTTTCTGGAAACTGTATAGGGTTTATAGATCATTGAAGCATAGTTCACCTTTTCATTCATGTGAAAAAAGAAAAAAAAAAGAGAAAAAGAAAAGAAATTCACCCATGCTGATGCTGTGTGGAAGATGGATAGAAAGGGAAATAAATTTCCCTCGAGTCAATCCAATTCAATCCATGAAGAACCCGTCTTAATTATTACTTTGCCCGAAATAACCCAAACTAGCAATAAATCCTCCACCACCACTTTTGCACTCAAACCCTACCATGTCTTATTGACTTTCAAATGCTCTCTTATTTATTCTTTGCCACCAACACCAACACCAACACCAACACCAACCCTTTTTTTCCTTAGAATATGTGCAACAGAAAACAATAACCAATTTAACTCATTTTCTCTTCTCTCCTGTCTCTCACACGCCTATTAATACCCTGCAACTTTACAAAATAGAGATAAAGTAAGAAACACTTCCATAAAGCAAAGAAGCAAAATCATCAGAAGATGATTAAGATGATGTGAAAATCGAAGAGGAACTCATCACAAACAAACCAACTCTTCTCTCTCTCTCTCTCTCTCTCTATATATATATATATATATATAGTAGCAATACTTGGAAGCTCTTGACTCTCTAGCATTAATAGCGTTGGCTATCATCTCTGGTAAAGATTCTAGTAAGAGCCCTAGCACTTGAGCTTTTGTTGTTCTCTTTGTTTTCCTTTCTGTGGGAACCTTGATCTCTTTGTATTATGAAAACCCTCTTCGTTTTTATCTAATAGAATACATATATACATATATTATAAAACAGCAAACCATATCATGGGTTATGGGAGCACCATACTTTCTTTATATCTCTCAAATTTGTTTTGCATGTTCTTATGGGTTCACAGGTGATTCATGTTGATATTTTGTTGTGTATTGTTTAATTAAAATATGTATGTGTGTGTTTATACAATATATATATATATATATATATATGTGTGTATGTATATATCTTACTTTTATTTATTTAATTTAATTTGGAGTGACAATTAATTGAAACTGAACTGAAATGCAGGGGTAGGTGAGGAGTCTATGGCTATAAGAAGAGATGTTTTGTTTGCCTAGACCTTTCATTCTTATTCACTAAACCAAAAAAGAGAGCCAGAAAGCAGAAAGAACAAAGAAAGCAAAGCAAAAGATCACTTTTTTGTCTCTGACTTAAGTGTGCTACAAATTCATTCATCATCAATCATTCATATACAGTCATAACTAGTAATTTCAGATGGCTTCATCAAATAGGCACTGGCCTAGTATGTTCAAATCCAAGCCCACCTGCAACACTCATCACCACCACCAATGGCAGTCACAGGACTCCAACAACAATCTTCTCTCTTCTACCTGCCACAGATCTCCTTACTCTTCTGGTAATTACACAATTAAGCTCATCTAAGTCTCTTCTTATGTGTGTCCGCACAGATAGTTTTAGTGTAAATTTTAATGCTGTTTTGAACTTGTTTTATAGATGGTACTCCTACATCATATAGAAAAAAGAAAACAAAATCATAACCATTTTTTCACACAGAAACAATCATGGATTTGATATGTAGTCGGTTTTTTGCTATTAGAGATGATTTCTTGTGTAAAACTGTGTTCTTTCTTTTCATGGAAGTTATTATGCAATACTTTTTTCATTTCAACACGAAATAGACCGATGTTTGATCCTGATAATCATGGAGCTTCATGAATTCATGAGTCATTGTTCCCATATGGTTAGGCATACAACCATGAAAAAAGCTTAAATGATGTATACGTTACAAGTTGAATATAAAGTATTTTTAAGGGTTAAAAATGACAGGATGTGAAGAGAGAAGCCCAGAGCCAAAACCAAGATGGAACCCAAAACCTGAACAAATCCGGATCCTTGAATCCATATTCAATTCGGGAATGGTGAATCCTCCTAGAGATGAAATCAGAAAAATTCGAACCCAACTGCAAGAGTATGGGCAAGTTGGTGATGCCAATGTCTTCTACTGGTTTCAGAACAGGAAATCTAGGAGCAAGCATAAGAACCGTCACCTTCAAAAATCCCAAAACCACCAATCTCTACCTGTATCTGCGACCACCACCAAGGGGGCAACCACCTCATCTTCTTCCTCCTCTGAAAAGTCTTCCTCGAAGTCCATCGAGTTCCTCTTGAACTCCCCCACAGATTCAGTAGATCAACAAGGACATGGCTATTTTGGTGGTGGAGGGACGGGTTACCACCATCAGCACCACAGTGAATTCTTGCAAGAACCCTTTTTTTTCACCACAGTGCAACACCCACCTCCGCCACCGCCAGCCTCCACCACTACTGCCAGTTTCACAGAAGGGTTTTGTTTCTCGGAGTTAGGAAATGTGATGAATGAAGATCATAATCACGGGAATCTTGATGAGACGGTTGGGAGTGGATCTGCGATGTTGCTAACTGATTTAATGATGATGAATCACCAAAATGGAATGCCGAAGAACAATAATAGCAAGTGTGTTGAAGAAGAGAAGATGATGAAACTCTCGAGCTACAATTTTACTCCACCTTCAGCTTCTACTTCCATTGTTCACCTTAATCCTACCACGACTGCTGTTCCATCAACTGTAAATATTCAAGGTACGTTCTCTATTTTCTTTCTTGTTGAAATGGTCATATATATATATGTACACTAAGTATTAAGAACTGGTTTGGTGTACATCAAGCATCAAAGAGGCTACTACAACAGACTACAACAACAATAATTTAAAAAAAAAACTATGAAAGTAGCCAAAAACATTTGAAGTATTTCTTCATTAGAAAACCAGAAGGTTCACTATAAATTTCAAAATCATCAGTAAAATATTTGTACTGCTCATGTTGTTGCCCTAATGTTTATGGGAATTTTTTTTTTTTTTTCTGAAATAGTTAATAAGTTATATAAAACTGAGAAATCAATAGAACCAAACTGGGAACTATTCTAAATTTCATTCTTGGAACCTGTGGTCTCCAAGGATACATTTATGACCATTTTTTTATTCAAGATTTCTGAGTGCTTGTCTATAAGAAAATCGGCACTTAATATGAGGAGAGAGTTGTAAGTAAAGATATATATATATATATATATATCCCAGCAAGTCAACTGATGGTTGTCTGAGTTGAGGTGCAGGTGTGGAGGAACCAGCGCCTGGGAAATCGACCGTGTTCATCAACGACGTAGCGTTTGAGGTAGCAGTCGGCCCCTTCAACGTGAGGGAGGCGTTCGGCAATGATGCTGTGCTGGTACACTCTTATGGTCAGCCAGTGGTGACCAATGAGTGGGGCGTCACCCTTCACTCGCTCCAGCATGGCGCAGTTTATTACCTGGTGCGCTCGTTCTCGTTCGATCATTCCAGCGCTATCGACTTGGTATACATATGCTTTCCATCCACATCTTCATCACACACACCACCCAAGTTTAGTTCATAGATTACCATCAACATTTTTAGCAGTTACTTCATTTTTATCACTGAAGACAGTAAGCTTTTCTTATGTAACCATGATATCTAGTCATAATCGAACATAAGATATACTTTTATATGGGTTTATTTACTGTATCATCTTCTTGGGTAATTGCAGGTTTAGAAGAAATGTAGAAGCAGAAGAGATGGTGCAAGAGTTATCCCTTGTTGTTCAAGTCTTTTGAAATAGTAACAGTCATTGCATGTCGACTTTGATCTAGAAAATATGTACGAAGTTGTAATGCACCACTAATGCCTGCAAAAACTATGTCTAATTTGCATTTTAAGGACCATATCATGTTAGTATTACTTTGTTATATTATATATATCCACAATCGCCATTGGCATCTTTTTCTTCTTGTACAAACTACAACAAAATTGAGTTCATAGGACGTCACCAATGTCTAATCATCCCAATAGAGCGCTTTAGAGGACTTAATTTATAGAAACAAAATATAAAGCGTCCTTTCTAAAAGTGTTATAATAAGTTTATATGACGCTTTTGGACGTCTTAACAAGTTTTTGAGGACATTTTTAATACAAAGTGTCGCATTAGCAACTTTATTGGACATTTTACATTTTTGAGAAAGTGTACAATATACTCGATTTTTAATAGGACAATTTTTTAAATAGTGTTCTATAAAGTTGCTAATTGAACGCTTTATATTAAAAGTGTCATAAGAAACTTATTACGACGTTAAAAATGTCATATAAACTTATTACAACACCTTTAGATAAGACATTTTATTTTTTTTGGTCATATAAATTAAGTCCTATAAAGAGGTCTATTAGGACACTTAAAATTTTGAAAGTGTCCTATAAACCTGATTTCGTTGTAATGACATCTATCTAAATACATATAAATATGCTAGAAGTATATTATACTAACTGTAATGCATCTTTATTTTGTTCTCTTGATTTTATTTTATGAATTCTTACGTTTTTAAAAACCCAAAGTATGTTCAAATTGTTATGGAGTATTTTGTCGTATTAATAGGGCTTAATATGTATAGTATCTTGTATTTATAAAGGTTTGAGAGTTGGTTACGAGTTAGTTATATAAATTTCAAACCAAGTTATACTTATGTAATAATAAGATGTAAATCTATTATAAAGCACTAGAAGGGTACTCGCACAATGCAGCGAAATAAATCTCAATTTTAATGTTTAGTTTTTATAATACGATTTTACGTGATTTTGAAAAAACTTTAATGTTTTTATTTTTAAATGAAATATAAATTTGAAAATAACAGAAAAAATTGAAAAAAATAAATTAATATTAGTATCAAATTAACTATTTAATAAATCTCATTTTTTATGTAACTTCTTTAATTCAATTTTTTTATTATAAGTTTAATTTAGATTTAATAACAAAGTAATTTATTTTTGGTTTAACAATATAATTTTTTTATAATGATAATAATTAAATATTCTGTTAAAACTCAATAATTATCATAATTATATTTTAGATTTTTTATATTTAAAATTGAAGTTTATCATGTATTTGATAATGTTTATCCGTAGTTAGTTACACGAATTTAAAAATGAATAAGTTGTACTTACGTAAAATTACTTGTAATCTTGAATTTTAAGTAATATGCATCAATAAACAGTACTTCATACATAAAAAAAACTGTTTTTAAGAATTTTTATCAAATGTTTTATAATATAGTATAGATTTGACAAAAATTCTTAAAACCAAAATTTTATGCATAAAATATTGTTTATTGATGCATATTACTTAAAATTCAAGATTACAAATAGAATATGCATGAATACATCTTATTAAAGCTCTATGTTTGAATTCATCTAACTAAAATACATGATAAACATCATTTTAAATAAATAAAAATCTAAAATATAATTAAGATAATCATTGAGTTATAACAAAATAACCAATTATTATCTTGAAAAACTTTATTTTATTAAACCAAAATAGATTATTTCATTTTTAAACTTTAATTAAATTATAACAAAAAATTGAATTAAAAAAAAATATACAAAAACGATAACTTTTAAATAGTTAATTTGATACTAATATTACTTATTTTTTCAAAATTTTATGAAATCTTCAAATTTATATTCCATTTCAAAAATAAAAACATTTTCTTTTTCTCAAAACCACATAAAATCATATTGTAACATCGATAGACCCAAAATATAAAATAAAACATTAAAATCAAGATGTATCTTACTGCATTTCGCGAATACCCTTCTAGTATTGTATAATATAATATAAAAACGTTTTAGGAATATACTTGAATGTAACCAAAAATTCGAAAATTTGGTTAAAGATATTGAATATATATAGACAAGGGCTGTGTGAAAGGGAATAAAATACACATTCTATCAAAAGGCTTTTGGCCTAGCGGTATGTGAGTTATTGGCCTTTTAACAGGACAAGGGTTCAAACCTCACCAAAGGTGAGGAGGATGTGTGAGTTTATTTGTTCTATTTGTCGTATATAAATATTATATACATACTTCAAAAAAATAGTAAAATACCCATTTTTTGATATATAATTTATTTATATAACAAATTAATTAGATTTATAACAAATTTAATTTTCTAAAATGAAGATAAATATATATGTAGTATCAAAACTTCCTCTTTTCTTATGAAGATAATAATATGATCGGTTACCAAAATTCCTTAGCAATTTTATCGTTTATAAAAAGTGTAAAATAGAAATATTATAAAAAGTTGTAAATTTTATAAGCATGTTTTATTGATTTGTACATTATGTTTTAGTATCTGTATTCTTGAAAAGTTTAAGAGTTTTTAAAAGGTAAAATCTAAATGTTTTATAATACTAGAATAGTACTTGCACAATACAACCAGATAAATCTCGATTTTAATATTTAGTTTTTATTCTGTCCCCATTGATATAATACGATTTTATGTGATTTTGAGAAGACGATAATGTTTTTATTTTTGAATGAAATATAAATTTGAAGATAACATAAAATTTTGAAAAAAAAAAATAAATCGATGTTAGTATCAAATTAACAATTTAATGGTTCTCGATTTTTTGGTGTAACTTCTTTAATTCAATTTTTTATTATAATTTATTGTTGATTTAATAACAAAGTAATTTATTTTAGGTTTAATAGTATATTTTTTTTATAAATATAATAATTAAACATTCTGTTAGGACTCAATGATTATCTTAATTATATTTTAAATTTTTTATATTTAAAATGGATGTTTATCATGTATTTGATTATGTTTATCTGCAGTTAGTTACACGAATTTAAAAATAGAGCTTTAATAATTTGTATTTACGCAAAATTACTTGTAATCTTGAATTTTAAGTAATATGCATTAATAAACAATATTTCATGCATAAAAAATGGGTTTTTAGAATTTTTGTCAAACGCTTTATAATATAGTATAGATTGTAGATATGCATGCACGTATAAAGCGCTTCATGTGAAAACAAATGAGTTTGGTGAGAACAGTGAGAAATTGATACTTCTGAACTTTTTGAGAAAGTTTTTCAGTTTTTCTTTCAATGGGTTCTCTTGTGCTCTTTATAGGCTAATCATATGAAAAACCTGGTATTTTTTGGAACCGTGAAATCCAATTCCAGCCTCATATTTAAGGAAGGGTCAATTAAAAGTGATACTGAAAGTTGTATGAGAAATTAAGAGATTTGGCATACATCGTTATCGTTGTTCAATATGGTAGTATCGAGATTCTCGATCTCTCTTATGACAATCAGTCATTACAAAGATCCAAATAAAATCCTCTAAAACATAATCAAGAATCCAATTTCAATTTCTTTTGGATCTAAAACCCTAAATTAGTATAAGCATTAATGGTGGACAAGGGAGGGATGAATACCAAGTGTGTATTGTGCTATGTGATAGTGTACATATCCGTTCGGTTTAGAATTTTTGTTTTTATAGCGTTTTATTTACGAATTGTGATAAAGTGCGAAGTGTTATAATCAACATGTTAAAGAATCTATGATGTTGTATAGCCTTTTCTTTACAAATTGTGATAAAGCGCGATGTGCTTTCCAATTTCGGGGAAACAATTGCCATAATTGTTACTCTCACAAACTTGTTGAATTTGGTGATGTTTTTCGTTCTAGCTCGTCGTATTAATTAGAGGTTAGTCGTAGTAAAATGGTTAGTTGGGTTTATGATATGAGATTGGAATGAAATGGATAACCATGGAAAAGTTCAAAAAGATTTCATAAGGATTGGTATTTAAACTATTTTAAGTTTGGTAATTATTAGATTATTAATGTGTATTAAGTGTGGTACTATATTCACCATAGTTGGATTAAATCAATTTAGTTTATTGGATAATTGAATCTCATGGTTCTGTTATGCTAGCCGACTAATCTCAGGACAACTATCTGCTTTGCAGATAGCCTGAAGTCACCGCATTTGAACCTCCATGGCCACAAAGGGATTTAAAAACTCTCATACTGTCCCTATGAACGTTAATTTTGACAAAATACCAAATTTATAAAATTATTAACTTAACTCTTGATATAAATTAGTTTGTGATTGAAATTGAATTTCTCGCATCTCATAAAATACTTAGTTCTCTCTTGAACCCTTGATTTAGATTAGTTTGTGGTTGAGATTGGATTTCTCGGATCTCACAAAATACTTAGTTCTCTCTTGAATGACCCCCTTCCCCCAATATATAGTGAGAGATTCAAATAAAAGGCTAAATATCGTGAGAAGTAAGAATGAGAAGTTAATAAATGCTTCATATATGAATAATTGAAAAAAAATCTTTGTGAATATGCATGTGTGAACCGACGTTGTTGATTATTCATATGGGTTGATATATGCATATTCAAATGGATTTTTACTATGATTCACATATAAATTTTCCCTTCTGAAATTCTCACTATATTTAACCTTCATGTTGAACCAACCCCTCTCTCTCTCTCTCTCTCTCTCTATATATATATATATATATATATATATGTGTGTGTGTGTG